ATTCTAAAAAAACACACAAACCGCAAAAAACTGCCTCCCTCCCCTCCCCCCTTCCATAAATCAGAAGTTCCCATTTACCCCTCATTCTTATTCTCAGAGGCAACTTTTGTGACCAGTCTCTGCTTTTACATGCACGATGTGTGTTTTTTTTCTGAACATAAATGGGAAACTACTGTATGAATCAGCCTTTTCACATAATGATTTCTCTTAGACCTCTTTCTGTGTGTACCTTGTTCTCCCCGCAACCCTTGCATTTTTTTTTTTTTTAACAATAAAGGCTCACTGAAAAACTTCAGTGATAAGAGGGGAAGGAAGAAAATTCCTTAAGCATAATTAAAAGTAAAAAAGAATGATAGTTATTCCAAGTTTGGAAAGAAATTATTTTATTGTGGTGAAATACGTGTACCATAAAATGGACCATTTTAAACCATTTTTAAGTATATAGTTCAATGACATTAGCTACATTAACAGTGTTACAAACCATTCTCCTCAACTGAACTCTGCACCATTGAAACACCAACTCCCTATTCCTCCCTCCCCCAGCCTCTGGCAGCCCTGTTCTACTTTCTGTCTGTGTGAATTTCATTGCTCTAGCTACCTCACATACATGGAATGACACAGTATTTGTCCTCTTCTGTCTGGGTTATTGCACTTAGCATAATGTCTACAGGGTTCATCCATGTTGTAGCATGTGGTAGAATATCTTTCCTTTTTAGGGTTGCATAATAGTTCATGGTGTATATATATATATATCACGTTTTGTTTATTCATCTGTTGATGGGCACTAGGGTTGTTTCCATCTTCTGGCTATTGTGGGACTAATGCTGCTGTGAACGTAGGTGTGCAAATGTGATCAAGTCCTGCTTTCAAATCTTTTGGGTATATACCCAGGAGTGGAATTGCTGGCTCATATGGTAATTCTATGTTAACCCATTCTTTTTAACCACTGCATAATATTCCACTGTATCTTGCATGTGTTGTTGGCTAATTTAAGTTCTCTTTTCTGTGAATTGCCCATTGTTGGGGATGATTTTTAATAGGATTCTAGATAATTTTTATATACTCTGGATAGTCTTTCTTTTATCTGTTATACGCATGACAAATTATACTCACTTAAAAGTAAGTTTCTACATCATTCCAGATCCAAGTGCTCATCATGATACCTTTGATTATTTAAGGACTATTCCTTGGTGAGAATTTTTATTATGAAAGGAGAGTGCACAGGCAGGCAGCCATCTGCATGTAGCTTGTGACCTGCCCATAGTAGGTGATTCATACATGTTGACCGAGTGACGAAGCTACTTTTGGGCAGCACATGTTTCATTAGTTTTCCTTTTTAGGGTTTACTGGGATGGGTCACATCCAGACACTAATTAAATTTTCCCTAACTATAGCCTGTTCTACCAGGCTAGTAAAGTAAAAAAAAAAAAAAGAAGCCAAATGACTATGAAAACAGTAGACAATCAAGGTTCTGCAATTTGAAAAGCACTGTAGTGAACCCGTACTGCAACGGGCTTTGT